CTCATAGTTGTTTTGATTTGCATCTCTCTTAGAGCTAGGGATTTTGAACATTTCTTCATGTGCTTGTTGGCCATCTGAAAATCTTCTTTGGTGAAGTGTCTGTTCATATCCTGTGCCCATTTTTCAACTGGATTATTTACCTTATCTTGTTGTGGTGCTCAAGTATTTTATAAATTCTAGATATAAGTCCCTTATCTGACATGTCATTACCAAATACTTTTTCCCAGTCTGTAGCTTCCTTTTTTACCCTGTTGGAGAAGTTTTTAGATGTGCATAGGGAAATAACTTTTTTTTAAAAAAAAAAGGAAGAAAAAAAAGAAATCCCCAAAACATATCCATATGTGTAAAATGGAGGAAAAAAACCAGTTCTTATTTCATAGACTAGCTTATGGATTAAATGAGGTAATATAATTATCTGAAACATACTTTTCCTGACTTTAAACCTTGTCAGTTTATAGTATCTTTCTATAAATCATTTATTAGATTGCCTGGCTATTATTAATAACTTGTTGGTCATAGTGACTGCATGTGACAGGGTAAAACTGCCCCCAAGGATTTATTTGATTTGATCACTATAGAAGCAGATCACCGTATCCACTACCTGCATAGCTGCTGTTGGGTTCAAACTTTTCCAGTTAGCAGCTGAGGGTCTAACTTTTGTGGCACCAGAACTCTTTGATATAAGACACCAAGCCACTGTTGTTGATTCTTACTCATGGAATCATTCCAATCAGTTTCTAAGCTTGGAGCAAGATGTGGTAGACTCCTCTTGTAAAAATATATGGACTCAGAAACCTGATGAAAGGTTGTTATGAATCAGAATCAACTTGAAGGCAGGGGTTTAGTTTGGTTTTTAAGTTTTAACGGGAGAAGACTGCCTTATAGTCGGTTCAATCTGCTGGCTTTTCAGTTGTTGTTGTTATATGCTGTTGAGGCACCTGTGACTCATAGTGACCATATGTCCAACAGCCCTAAACCCTGCTCTATTCTGTGCCAATCTTATTGTCTCTGATACACCTACCCCCATTACTCCAGTCACTGAAATCAATCCATCTCATCAAGGATCTTCCTCTCTTGCATTGTCCCTCCACCCTCTCAAGCATGACATCCCTTCTCCAAGGACTAGTCCCTCCTTGAAACATGTCCAAAATATGTCAGATGAAGCTTCAGAATACCTGCCTCCAAGGAGCAGCTGGTTTCACCCTCTCTCGAACGAACTTGTTTGTTTTCCTAGAAGTCCATGGTATATTCAATACTCTTCTCCAGAACCACAGCTCAAAGGCATCAATTCTTCTTCTATCATCCCTAGTCATTGTCCAGTTTTCCAACACATAGTAATTGCAAAGACCATGGCCTGTATCAGGCACACCTTAGTCTCCAGACTGACATCGTTGTTCTTCAGTACTTTGGAGAGGTCTCTGACAGCAGATTTTCCCAATATAGTACCTCTTTTAATTTCCTGACTGCTGGTACCAAGTGTGTTGATTGTGGATCCATGCAAACTAAAGCTGTTAAACAATCTCAATGTCTTCACCATCTATCATGATGCTGCCAATCAGCTCAGTGGTGAGATTTTTGTCTTTTTGATATCGAGCTTCAATCCATATTAAAGACTGCAGTCCTTGACCTTCTGCAGCAAGCACTTCAGGTCCTCCACAGTTTCAGCAAGCAAGGTTGTGTCATTGCACAACACAGATTATTGATGGATCTTCCACCAATCTTGATGCCACATTTTTCCTCACCGAGCCCAGCCTCCTAGATAATCTGTTCTGCATATAGATTGAAATGGTATGGAGCCAGGCCACATCCCTGGCATACACCTTTCCCAATTTTGAACCATGCAGTGTTTCCTTGCTCTGTTGTGACCACTGCCTCCTGGCTCAAGTATAGGTTTTGCATAAGCACAATCAGGTGTTCTGGGATTCCCATTCTTCTCAGAGTCAGCCACAGTTTGTTGTGATCCACAAAGTCAAACGCCTTTGGATAGTCAATGAAACACAGATAGACATTCCTCTGGTACTCTCTGTTTTCAGCTAAGATCCATCTGTCATTAGCTATAATATCCTTAGTGTCATGGCCTTTTCTAAACCCAGCCTGCACTTCAGGCGGTTCCCTTTTGATGTGCTGTTCCAGTCATTTTTGCATAAACTTCAGCAGAACCTTGCCTGCATGTGATATCAATTTTATCATTCGATAATTTCCTTATTCTGTCAGGTCACCTTTCTTTGGAATGGCAACAAATAAAGATTTCTTCTACTCAGTTGGCCAGGTGGTTGTCCTCCAGATTTCATGGCACAACTTGGTAAGCACATCCAGGGCAACGTCTGTTGAAATATGTTAATTGGTATGCCATCAATTCCTAGGGGCTTGTTTTTTGCCAATTCTTTCAGAGCAGCTTGAACTTCTTTCTTCATCACCACAGGCTCTTGCCCATACGATGTTTCATGAAATTCTTCTGTGTCCACCAATTTTTTTTGGTACAATGACTCTGTATACTCCTTTCACCTTCTTTTTTTTATTTTATTAATTTTAATGAACATTTACAGAGATTTTGGATTTTCATTCATTCATTGTTTCACTTTTTTTCTTTCCCCCTCTTCCCCTGAGTTCGCTCCTCTCTTTGAAAAGCAAAAGATAAACTTCTTCGTTGGTATACGATCAATGCACTTTCACCTTCTTTTAGTGTTTCCTGGATCATTTAATATTCTGCACAAAGCATCTTTCAGTATTGCAACTTGAGGCTTGAATTTCTTCTTCAGTTCCTTCAGCTTAACAAGTGCTGAGTGAGTTTGGTCCCTTTGATTTTCTAACTCCAGCTCTTTGCACATTTCATTGTAATACTGTCTTTCCGTGATGCCCTTTGGAATCTTCTGTTCAATTCCTTAATATCTTGATTTCTTCCCTTTACTTTGGTTTCTTGGCACTCTAGTGCAATATTCAGAGTTCTTTCTGACATCCATCTTGGTATTTTCTTACTCCTCTGTATTTGCAATGACCTTTTGCATTCTTCCTGGATGATATTCTTGATACCCTCCCACAGTTCATCTGATCTTCGCTTATTAGTGTTCAAGGCCTCAGACCAGTTCCTGAAATGATTTTGAAGTTCAGGTGGGATAGACTCAAGGTCAAATTTTGGTTCCCATAGATTTAATTTTCTTTAGCTTCGGCTTAAACTTGCATTTGAGTAGTTGGTGGTCTGCTCCACAATCAGCACCTGGCCTAGTATTCACAGCTGATATTGAGCTTCTCCAGTGATTCTTTACACAGATGTAATAGATCTGATTCCTATGCATACCATAAGGTGAAATCCATGTGTATAACTTGCGTTAATGTTTTTTATAAAACATATTTGCAATGAATAAGTCATTGATTGTTCAAACTTCTATCATTCTATATCGTTTTATTTTTGTCACCAAGTCCATGTTTTCCAAGTACTAATTCTTATTCTCTGTTCCCAACTTTTCTGTTCCAATCACCCATTATGATTAATGCAGCTTGACTGCATGTTCGATCGATCTCTGACTGAAAAGGTGGCAGAAATCTTCTATTTCCTCTTCTTTGGCTCAGGTTGTTGGTGCATATATTTGAATGATGGTGGTATGCACTGGACTTCCTTGTATGCGTATCGATATTTTCCTGTCACTCACAACATTATATTTCAAGACAGATCTAGAAATGACTTTTTAAACTATGAAAACAACCCCGTTTTTCCTCATGGTTTCGTCTCCAGCATAGTAGATTATATGATCTTCTGACTCAAAATGTCCCATGCCAGTCCATTTAATCTTTCCAGTACCTGTTGTTGTGGTTATGTGCCGTCGAGTCGTTTGCGACTCATAGCAACCCTATGTACAACAGCCCTAAACCCTGCTCTATCCTCTGCCAATCGCACTGCCTCTGACACCCCCATCCTGATTACCCCAGTCACTGAATCAATCCATCTCATAGAGGGTCTTCCCCTCTTGTGCCGTCCCTCCACCCTCCCAAGCATGATGTCCCTCTCCAAGAACCTGTCCCTCCTTGCACCATGCCCAAAGTATGTCAGACAAAGCCCCAGAATCCTTGCCTCCAAGGAGTAGCTTGGTTTAATCCTCCCCAGGTTTTACGTATTCCATTTCTTTTCTTAAAATTATCCAATTTTCCTACTTTTATGGTTCTCACATTTCATGTTCCAATCACTAGTGTCTGCTTACAGGTTTTCCTCCTCCTATGTGTTTCTACACCTGAGGGCTCAGCCTCAGTTGCTATATTTGCTAGTCTAAATGTGCTCAATTCAACATAGGATTTTCGAAGGCCTGCTATTTCAGAGTGGATGGCCAATCCTTCTTTCTACTCTGTCTTAATTTGAAGGCTCAGATTTAGAACGTTATCTGACAGACAAGCATTTTATGGAAAAGAGTAGATTAAAGATATTTCCCAATTGTAGAAATAACCAATAGTTTAGATTCAGTGGTGTCCATGCTCATGGCAGGTGTGTCTTGGCTCACCCCTTTCCCTTCTCCACCAACATTCACTTCTACTCCCATCTACTTTATTCAACACTTATCTCCTCTATCCAGCCTTTGGTGTGATGGCTTTTATCTCAATCTTTCTGGGCTTTTGTGATTCTGAATGCCTCAAGCTGTTGTCAGTTTCTTCTGCTGTGGGCAGTATCTCTAGAGTTTAGGAACTGCTAAGTCCAAATACCAGGTACTAGTATCAGGGAAGTCTTCCTATCTCAGACTGTTCTGAGGAGAAGTCCTTTACCTTGAACTTCTGCTCCAGGATTGACTTCTTGTTGCTTAGGGCATTTTATCTTCCATTTACTACTAACTTCTTACACCACTTACACTCCTTTGCCATTGTAATAAGGCTCAAAATTCTTAATTTTTCTATTTTGTGTAAAGCAAAAAAAAAAAAAAAGATACTCACCACCTATTAAATCTTCCAGGGTGTTATAAATATCTTCAGAAAATGTGAATTGAGAATCACTTTCTACTTTTACATTTTTCACTTCATTCTGTATTAATGATAAAACAAGGCATTAATATTAATACAGAAACATTGTTGTAAGCTTCTTCTAAAGGTGCATTGTTATGGATCGTAATAAATTATGTTGACAAGAATGGGAATACCAGAACAGTTAGTTGTGGTCCTATGGCACCTGTATATAAGCCAAGAATCAGTCATGTCAATAGAAGAGGGGTATACAACAATACTTACTCAGGAAAAGTATGCTTCAGAGTTGCATCCTTTAACTATACTTATTAAATGTGTATACTGAATAAATAATTTGAGAATTTGGACTATATGAAGCAGAATATGGCACCAGAAGTAGACACATATATAATGACACTATCTTTCCTGCTGTAAGAGGTACCTATTAAAGAAGATCACAGACTATAGCTTTCAGTTTGGATTACATCTCAAGATAAAGAAAATAAAAATACACACAACTGGACCAATATGCAATATCATGATAAATGAAGAAAAGATTAAAGTTTTCAAGACTTTCATTTTACTTAGATCCACAATCAACATTCATGAAACTAGCAATCAAGAAATCTTCCAAGATGCTATTCTGCTGCCAAGAACTTCTTTAAAGTGGTAATGCACAAAGAGAGTAGTTTGAAGATTAAGGTGGATCTGACCCAAGACATGTTATTTTCAACTGCTTCATATGAATGTGTATGTTGGACAGTGAGCAAGGGAGACCAGGGAAGAAGTGATCCTTTTGAATTGTGAGTTTGGTAAAAAATACTGAAAATACTGTAGATTGCCAAAAGAACAAACAGATTTTGGAGGCTGTACAACCAGAATGCTCCTTAGATACAAGGATGGTGACAATCTCACATACTTGGAGCATACCGTCAAGGAGTCTTTGCAAATCATGTTTGATAAATAGGAGATCAGCCAACTTACAAAGGAAGACATACAACAAGACGAAACAGTGACTGTATCAATGGATTTAAGCACAAAGGAGACTGTGAGAATGCTCCAAGATCAGATAGAGCTTTGTTTCGTTTTTATGATGTTGTTATGAGTGTAGATAATTCAACAGCACCTAACAACAACAAAAACCACTGTAATTTTTCAGTTAGACTTTTTTTGTTACATAGGAAGAATACATTTTTACTATTTCTCCTCACTATACATATTGGCTCCCTTTTGTAAAACAAAGCAAACTGTTCAACTATAAAAAATGATAAAATGAAACCAGTACCTGATTATTTTATTATTTTTATTTTTCAGTAAGTTATAGGATGTGCCTATGAACATTGTTTTATGAGGCTCCATGAGAGAAGAGTATAAATATTTTAAAAGGATAAAAAGCACACATACCTATTACTGATTCTTTGTTATTTGTTGAATTTAGTTTAAATGATATTATCACACCACAACAAGATAAAGGTAAAGAATCCAATAGAAAAATGGGCACAGGGTATGAACAGGCACTTCACCGAAGACGACATTCAGATGGCTAACAA